CATGGATGGATCATTTCCTGGTCAAGACTGAACTAAGAGCCACTACCCGCCCCACCTGCGGTGGTGGACCCATTAGAATGGTCCACCCTTGAAGGCTAATGGAACCAATGGGATTCCAGAAAGTCTTGGAGGGTTTAATGGTTGGCAATGCCGGCTACCCCATCGAAACTTTGGTTAATACCTGGAACACCAATCTTACCAAGGCTATCGACACGATTGCTCCCAAGCGTCCTTTCCAACCCACTTCAAATCGGAAGCCATGGTATACAGCAAAGTTTAGGAAATAGAAGTGGGTTGGACAACGACTAGAGTGCACCTGGTGGAAAACTTGACTCTTATCTGAAAAGACTTGTCATAGGAACTTTCTTTGGTCCTATCGAGAGGCAATACATGCAGCACAGAGATCCTTCTGTTCTGCACATATTGCATCTGGAGGGTCCCGTCCAGCAGAGCTATTTAGGGTGGTAGGGGAGCTGACGCAGGTTCCTCCTGTGCAGAACTCATTGCTTAACCTGACAACGGCCTGCTGTGACATGTTTAACAACTTTTTGGCAGATAAAATCTCTCAGATAAGAGCAGACCTAGATGCCAGTGTTTTGACAGAAACAATTGACAAGCTGTCCAGCAACTCTGTTAACAAAATTTTCCTGGATCAGTTCCAACCTGTGAGTACCAATAATGTGGACAAGCTCCTTGGCAGAGTGACGAAAATGACCTCCCCTCTTGATCCTTGCCCATCATGGCTGGCCATCCAATGTTCCTCATGAGCATCATAAATGCATCCCTCAGGGAAGGTCATATTCTACCTTGTTTGAAGGAAGCGACTGTTAGGCCGCTTCTGAAAAAACCTTCCCTGGACACCCTGGATATGAACAACTATAGGCCATTCTCTTTGCTATCATTTTTTAGCAAGGTAATCGAGAGGGTGGTTGCTCTTCAACTCCAAGCTGTCTTGGATGAAACCGATTATCTGGACCCATTTCAAACTGGCTTTAGGATGGGATTTGTAGTTGAGACTGCCATGGTTGCCTTGGCTGATGACCTACGTCTGAGCATCGACAGGGGTAGTGTGACCCTGTTGGTGTTTTAGAGCTCTCAGAAGCTTTTGACACAATAGATCATAGCATCCTCTTGGATCACCTGAGTGGGTTAGGAATCAGAAGCACTGCGTTGCAGTGGTTCCGTTCCTTCTTCTCAGACAGGTCCCAGAGGGTGCTGCTCAGGGACAGTTGCTCCGCAAAAAAGGCATCACTTCCAGCATCCCTCAAGGGGCTATTCTGTCCCCGATGCTGTTTAACATCTATATGAAGCCGCTGGGTGAGATCATTTGGAGCCATGGGGCTGGGTGTTATCAATACACAGATGACACCCAGATCTATTTCTCCATGTCTCGATCGTTGGCCTTGACTCCCGATGGTGTCTGTCCTCTCAATGAATTTCTTAAGGCAGTAATGGGCTGGATGAGGAAAAACAGATTGAGAGTGAATCCAGACAAAACAGAGGTGCTCACATTAGCGGCTCTGAAACCAGGTATTGGGTTGTAACCTCCAGTCCTTGGCTGGGTCACACTCTCTGTGAAGGACTGTGTTCACAGTCTGGGGGTGCTCCTTGATTTGTCACTCCTGATGACTAATCAGGTAAATGTGACAGGAGTGAGTGTTATCAGCTTCGGCTGATACTCCAGCTGCACCCTTTCCTGCAAGTAAGAGACCTTGAGACTGTGGTGCATGCACTGGTAACCTCCCATCTAGATTTCTGTAATGCACTCTACATGGGGCTACCCTCATGCTTGGTCCGGAAACTTTAATTAGTACAAAATATGGC